CATCATCATATCAACATAGATCAGGCATTACTGCCTAACGGTCCAAGTTGCCACACCTCATATCAGTACATCAAGTAAAAGGTAGTGAGGTGAAGGATGAAGATAAGAGAATGCAGTCAAAAGAAATATGAGAAGAAAAACAAAGGAAGAGTGACAAAATGGTGAGAAATCGGCATAATGTTAAGATGAGGATAATGTGTGTATACATCTGCGCCACTGACTTCGTTATCAGCCATATCACCTAGGGTCTCCTCTTGTTCCTTGTCCCGCCGCCCCAACCGACCTAGTCTGCATCGTCCTACATGGCTTAAACCAACAGTCAGAGACTTCATACATTGGCCATGTTTTAGTCTGGCCACCTCGAGCCTTTTTCCAGCTGGACCCACCTCAGCCAACATTGTGTGACGAGGCAATCGGTGACTAGGCATACGTAGTACGTGTCCCAACCATCTCAGTCGATGAAGGTTCACAACCTCGTCGACTGACTTACCTCTTCTCCCTAAAACTCTACACCTAACTTCTGCATTACTCACATGGTGACACCACGGAATACGTCCTATACTACGAAGGCAACGGTGGTCAAACACCTGTAAGCCTTCTCATGTCTTCCACTTTCAATGGCCATGTTTCACAGCCATACAGTAGAACAGAGCGGACTGCTGTGCAGTACACGCGACCCTTAATAGACAAACGAATATCAGGCGGCGCCATAGGTGGCGCAAATTGGCAAAAGCCAATCGAGCCTTTTGTATCCGTGCAGAAATCTCATCGGCAACTAACCCACCGGGTTGATCCTACTTCCCAGGTAAGTGAAGTGGTCACAAACTCAACCACTTCACTCTCTATTGTTAACCGCGGTACCGCTGAAGACCAGTCCTGGAGCAAAAATTTGCATTTGGGTGGTGAAAATCGCATCCCAAACATTCTCAAATTCCCACTCAAAGTGTTCAGAAGACTCTGCATCTTGTCAGCGTCTTCACCTAACAGGACTATGTCATCTGCATATTCTAGATCTAAGGAAAATTCACCTGTGATTGGGTCGTCTGTGTAATTAGGTGACGAGAGGGAAACCTCCATAAGAATATCTATGATAAAATTAAATAAGAATGGGGATAGTGGGCATCCTTGGTGGACACCACTTGATGAGTATAGCTCCCTGGACAACTCACCATAGGCTCTAACATGCCCACAAGTGTTCGAGTAGAGAGCTTTCAATAAGGTGATGTACTTACTAGGCACGCCTTTCAGTGACAGACACTGCCATAAGACTTCTCGATCAACGGAGTCAAATGCCGCCTTCAGGTCGAGAAATACAGCTATTGTCGGGCGTCTGTAAGCATGCCTATGTTCCAGGACCTGGCGCAGTGTGAATATTTGGTCGATACATCCACGGCCAGGTCTAAAGCCTGCCTGGTTTTCTCGGGCTTGCTGTTCCCGAGCTCCACTCAGGCGTCGGAGAATTATAGAACTTAGGATCTTAGACACTATGTTTGTCAGGCTGATTCCTCTGTGGTTATCACAAGAGGACTTCTCGCCTTTCTTGAAGACTGGGATGATGAGTGACTTAGACCAGTCGGAGGGGATCGTATTTGATTCCCATATACTGGCTAACACTTCCGTTAGCCTGACTAAGAGACTCTACCACCATTCTTGTATACCTCAGCAGGTAGTCCGTCTGGTCCTGCTGCCCTTCCCGTTTCAGGCTACCTACCGCTTTCTCAACTTCTTCTAGTGTTGGGGGACCTGTCTCTATGTCCCATTCAGGGTCCGACTGGATAGCGGGCAGCGCAATGGTGGCTGGAGGCCAGTTAAACTGTTCCTCGAAGTGTTCTGCCCATCGTCCCAGTCGCCTTCCCTGCGAGTGAATCGCAGATCCGTCCTTCTCCGCTATAGCCTCACTAACTGTTGTTGACCATTTCCCCCCAGTCTCCTTAATAAGTCTAAATAACTGTCTACTGTTACCGATCGCCGCTGCCTTTTCCATCTCTTTAGCCTTTGCTGCCCACCACTGTTCACGATCGTTGCGCAGACTTTTCGTCAGTCTATTTTTAAGTTGCGCTCGCTCTTCATTGTACTCAGAGCCTGCAGGGATGCATTCACGTGCATCCATTAGTTTGGAAGAAGCTGCTGATATCCACTGGCTCTTTTTAGCCATTATTTCGGAGTCGGCTACAGTCTCCAGTGCTGCTTTTACAGTAGACTGAAGATGGCACCAAGCTTCTTCTGGATGAGTGACAGTCTTTTGTTCCGATAACTGCCTAGCCAACTTCTCACTGAACACGGCTTTGGTGTTTTCGTTGTCCAGCAGCACTCGTAGTGGTTTTGTTGCCAAATTTTTTCTACGTCCATTGAGACGCAGGCATATACGTGCTCGGACCAACGCATGATCGCTGTCCAAACACGTACTCCAGAAGGAGCGGCAGTCTTCCACCGATCCTCTCCAGCGATGACTAATAGCAATGTGGTCTATCTGTGTCCATCGCTGAGTCGAGCTCGGTGGACGCCAGGTCAGACAGTGCCTTTCTTTATGTCTGAAATTGGTGCTGGCTAAAAATAGGCGGTTATCTGAGCATAGTTGTAATAGGCGATCACCGTTATCTGTACGTTCAGCTGGGATTCCGAAAGTGCCACCTAAGTGCCTTTCTGCCTCACTCAGTCGGGACGAAATATTGAAGTTTAGAGGGCACCAAACGATTGTCATCTTCATTCTGACCTACAAATTTCCTGTACTGCTTTGATTTTCGATTATTAAGATTGCGAAAATCAAGCGAGAGAAACACCAAGATTGAAGTAGAAATGCAATCACAATAAACTGTTGAGTTTCACAGATCGACAAGGAATGGAAAATCGATTGTTTGATCGGATCAGACAAAATATCTTTCAAATTCACTCACCAACTTCGCATAAATACGAAGTGTATTCTAGATAATAACTTCCAATAGCGAGCGGAAGAACGTCCATCATCATTGGACGATATATAATCCTCATATGATTGTGACCGATGACTACAGCGTTGGCAAGCTCAGTGCTCACGTAAATCACCATATTTCTTTCCTTAGGCTTAAGTATCACAAATTTCCGGATAATTGACTTTATAAATTCTAGGCAAATTAAGTTCAACGACATGCTTCAATTAATAACACTGTATCCGTATTTTATTTTACACTAGATAACATACATCTGAATTAATCTATTGAGAATTTTCACAGTGTAGTAACCATCAAAACATGTTGACAGACTAAATGTATTAGGACCGTATATGTGTGTCATCCTTAAACAACTCTAACTGCAGTTAATAACCGTCAATGGAAACTTTCAGTTGAAAAGAATTTCGATGATGAAATTCGAAAGAAAATTGTGAAGAACGGATAAATATCGCAAACTATTTTATATTGTTGAGAAAGTTTGCAAAAACTTTCCGAAATCCCGAAATTCAAATACAAACGAAATTCACTCTGATTGTAACACTGCACCATTAATCTTATACCAATCACTCATGGTTTCATTCATGAAACCTTAAATTACACCTTAATTCTCATTTAAAGTCTCCACAACCGATTCCTTATTGGATTTTACTTTTCTTTCTGCGATCAAAAGAATAAAGATCTACATTACATAGAAAATTATGAAACGATTGTTTTGCTCATGAATGATCACTTCAAGAATCATAGTATTAAATTAATATCTTATAAAATAGGTACACAACATAAATCAGCTTACTTTTGAAGATAAACTAGCCAATGAATTAGCTAATGCAATTAAAACACCGAAAGTCAACACTACTGAATTGTCACCGAAATTTGGACTATTGAAAGTAAGCTGGATAGGTACAGTTGAATGTCTCAATTCATCGGACTAAATGTACAATTAATAACAAAAAGAAGAGATGAATAAAACTGCTACTACAAAGTTACAATAATTAATAAAAATTTGACTAACACATGAATAAATCATTTCAAATATCTATTAAGTGCTGAAAGTATTGACTTACTGTCATTAGCGAAGTATTTCCAAGCATAGGCAGCTGTACAATTAATACACTGAGTGAGATGACAAGATGTCGTATCAGACAAAGAAGTTCTAATTCACTACTTTCTGAATCAGTAAGTTCAACTGATATTGAACTGATGACATGGGGACTTGATACTTCAGTTATTTTGTTTGCCATTGGTGTTCTGGGTAGTACTGGTGTCAGTTGACTGTTAATCGCAGAAACACCTGTGGTTACCTGTGATAAGGAAACTGGAACTCCTTTCAAAGATTTATATCCATGACGTTGAAATAATATTGAACAACAATGTATTTGACGTTGAATCATATTGAATATTGCATAAAAAAGCTCCGATTGTACAGAAGGTCCATAAGATGGCTAAATTGAAAATAAATTTACAAAATCATAATTTATTTTGATGCTTACCAGTGATCGATGTCGGTTTCTATCGTTTTCAGTTCGGGACAACTTGAATACAGAATAGTTGGTGCTATAATAGGCAGACCTGAAGTACTTATACACTCTGAAGCAACTAGAATGCGCCAATATAACTTTAGGATGACTTCAGCCAATCGAATTCGACATGTCAACAGGATACCTTGTTGAATTAATACACTGGTCAGTGGTAATGGTGACACAAAACTCTGATCATTTATAGGTGTAGTGTACAATGGTAAGCACCAATAAGTAACCATGTATTCTAATTGACTAGCATTATTCGCACAAAAATTTTGTATTAATGAACACACTAACGGATGTTTCATACCACCAAGACTGTCGTGTAGTAGACATAAAAGTTGTATCTGTAATATGAACACAGCATTCCAGTCGTAGTGCATATTATAGTTAAAGGATTGGAGTTCTCTATCACCATTGAATAAACTGATTCGCTGCTATAAAAGAAAACAGTGAGTAAATTCAGTTTATGTAATCATTTGGACCTACATTTGAATACGTTTCAGAATCTTGTAACCACCGTGATAGTGTATCCATTTGTGGCCAGTAAAATGCAGTTGAAATATACTCATGATAAGATATTATCACATGAGCTATTGTATTCTTTTGTTGAATCAACAGGAAATCATCTGATTCATCTAAATCTGTACTCAGCTGAGATAGATTTTTATGGCTTAACATACCGGTTATTGTTATCCCTTCATACTCTAACTGAGATGAATTCATTACTAATTTTACAAGTAAACTGGTTAGACAGTGACAAAGTGTTGCACCGTCTTTGACCTGAAAAATAAAGAATAGCAAAACATTTGGAAAAAAAGAGCTATTCAAAGTGTATGTTCAAACAAAGAATGAAGTCTTTTTCTTAATAACATGCTAAAGTAACTATGAGAATTATCACTTAACAAAAAATTGTATACGACGCTATGAATGACCGGTTAAGAAATGTGTTCGACTTTGCAATGCTTTGGAAACAGGTACCTAGAAGGAGTAATCATGTAACATTACAAATGTTTACCACATAACTTTCCAAATACCCTTAACCTTTGCAGTATTCCTTTCACACAGTAAGAGTGTAAGTAATACTCAATGTGGTGCGTTACGATATAATGAACGTGTATATTTAGAAAAAGAAGTTATCTTATATGATTGACTTAGATGGTTTGAATATAGTGGGTATCTTTGTAGTGATTTCCATAAAGAAGTCACTGTAAACGTGGAAGTTGGTTGAAATTTAAAAAAATTAGAATGTAATTAGTCTCTAACAACAGACTACAAAGGAGGACATTTAATGACAAGCATGTGATCACAACTTCAAATAAGAATGAAAGCATTATGAGTCTGTAGGTGATCCGTAATACAGCCAAAACTAATATTGATTTGAGTCGACGTCTTCCCTTTACTCTCACCAAAACCTGTAGAATAGTAAAAAGTTATGAACTTCACCATGGATATCGCTACTGGTCATAGTTGCAGTTTTCATATATAATCCCTTTCTGTTTTATCTTCTATTCTGTCTCCGGTTTTATAATTTTAGGAAATTCTTTGCAGCGTATGTAAATATTTTTCAAAAGCACTAAGTGTGTGATTTTAAAAAAGTGAAAATTTATTAACATTCTTTATCGCTAATCCATGATACAGAGATGCACTTACTTTGGTGCATTCGGTAAGAAGAATTAAAATATTATTCAAAACTCCAGTTTCAGTGAGACGTGAAAACAGTGTTGAGCGTCCGCAATGATCCCAAAGGATGATGATGACGTTGATTGATTGCTTAATAGCCTAAAATCCAAAAAATACTACGTGGTAGAAAAAGGATAAGCAGCAGGTCACTGCGATCAAATATAGAAATAATATTCATCAACGAATTATGCCTGATTCAGTAAGATAACATCCAAATTGGCAGAATTACACAACGGTTGTTGTGACATGTCGTAAAAGAACATAAACGTAGCAGTAACAGACAAGAGTAGCAAAGAAAAAGCAGTTGAAATTAGAAGCAAACAGTGCAAACAGAACAAGAAAATCAAAACAATAATGAAATCCCACATGGTGATTTGGATAAAGATAATGTGTCGATGCATCAGTGCCAATGAAATCGACTACGAATGACATCACCAGCGGTTTATAAACACTGAATCTCAAAACACCACTCATAGAATAATCAAGAACTTCATGCACTGTTGTTATGCCCAAGTTTGAACGTCTATAGCAGCGTCCTAACAAACACTCACATCAGCAGACACTGAGAAACAGGGCACACGGCGTCTAGGCATGCACAACAAATGTCCCAGATATCTGTGTCGACGAATAATTAATAATTCCGAAAACTATCCTCTCTATTCTGTTCAAACGTTTCATGTGACCTGAACTACAAGCATGTGATGGCATCACGACACACAACCCATGCTATGAAGGCAACGGTGATCTGGAAAACCTGAAGCATATATTCATCCACCTCATACACCTATAGCAGAAACGCTTCACAGAAACATGGTACAGCACACAGAAACTCTCCACAGTACACTTGCCTATTAACAGGAGGAAGGATATCACTATGGCATCACAGGGGCAAAAACCCAAACAAAACCCTCGTATTCATGTGGAGATTTTATTCGTCGTCGACCCACCAGTACTCATTCCACTTCTTAAACAACTGAAATCGTCAACGCCTTCAACCACTTCATTGCTTACTATCACAAAATCCAACAGCTCAAACCAATCAGTCATGAAGCAATACCTTGCATTTGATTCACGACAAAACAATATCAAACACTCAGTTTGTTGATCAAACTACCTAGACAACCCTGTATCTTAGCACAGTCATCATCACACAAACAGGACTATACAATGACATCCACACAACCAACGAGGCTACTGGGACAAAGAAAATCATCGTATAGGCCAACAAGCAGGGAAATGGGACCTACAGAGACACCTCTACGTGGAGCAGATATTCATCAACTCGCCTAACCTGCTGATGAAAAGTCAAAAAATAAACCTCTCACATTCACAAATGGTTATCATTCTCATACTCAACTAAAAATCCTCACTACCACCTCATAAACAAATCCATACCAACCTAAATTAGAAAGGAGAGAGAGAGCACAGTTGACAGACATCACTCGATGTACACAACTTATCTGAGACCCCATCACACACCGCAACAAATGTACGAATACACAGTTCAAAATAAGGTAACTAACTCACTACACACACCTTACACACAGAGACAATGCAATCAGATCTCTCGATACATCGAGTTGAAAGCCGTCTTCAGGTGAACAAACACACTTAGTCCCAAAAGCTGTTAGACATGCATGTGTTCCCTCATCCTACCAAGGGTCATTGGGCAAACGCGTTCTCGGTCAACACTTCAGTCGGAGATAATTGGTTACACCACTCTGACATCGTCAACCAAATCTGCCTATGAGTGAGTCCAAGTCGTTACTAGTCCTCAACGTCCATCAGTGGTAAATTTGGTCAGCTATCGTCTATTATACACTTTCTTACAACAGAATGAAGATGGTGCCTCCCAACCTCAGCATGAGTGATGTCATCGCGCTACACACAACTGCTTAGCTAGTTCCCCTTTCCAAGTAACCTAAGCAATACCACCACCATCCACCCACAGTCAAAATGGCATCCCACTCCACGCTTTATACGTCCACTCAGGCCCAAGCACACGCATCCTCGAAGCAATGCGTGATCGCCATCCCAAACCTGCTCCAGAACGAGCAGCAATCACCCAACAACCCATCCCAGAGACAAATAGTAACCATATTGTCTATGTGTATCCACCACTAAGTTGACGTAGGTCAATGCCATATCACGCAAGTTCACTTCTCATCTCTGAAGTTCGTTCTGACAATAAATAGATGGTTGTCTGAGGGGACTTGCACCAGGCAACAGCCTCGATCCGTTTATTCCAATGGGACTCCTAAAGGGTTACCAAGAAGATGGACGGACCACAGATAATCTCAAACTGGACCCCGAATCACAAAGATATAAAAACATTCACTTTCTAAAGACAACAGACATTCAGAGGCCACACACTTGCATGAAGCACTACGTATTCATCTATACATTTCTAAATTGCCATTCTCGAACTTTTCTCACACCATGCCCAGCAGTTCATTTCGGCACCTTTTTCCGAGCTAACTCGTTGACACTTACTCTTAATACGTTAATGTTTGAAATTATTTGTAGCGTCACGTATCATGTATATATATATATATATATATATATATATATATATATATATATGCAGACGTGTTTCAAGGTTATTTATGGAATCTTTCAGGAGGTAATATACTCTTGCATCCAGACCAGTCTTCTTTATCTATAAGTCTTGCAGTGTTTTGGATTCGGTGACATTTGGTGTATGAGTTAGTTAATACTCAGACTTGTTCATGAAGTTATTGCTGAGGATGTCACCGAAGTTGTTAATGAAAAGTCCACGAGGAAATATTAAACGTCAGAAAACATCAAACCAACGTCACACCACTCAACGTTTGATATCTCTATATATGTCAATAGGTTCATATATAGTATTGAGTGATAGAAAGATATAAACCAATGCTACACCTAAAAATGAAAAGTATTACATTTTAACCCCAAACATTGCGAAAGGGTAACATTCGAAACCAGTGGAAAGTATTTTTAACGCAAAAAGTAGTTTCCACTTGAAGCTTACTGATTCTTCTATAGTATTCCTGTTTGAATTACGTGTCAGCAGACTTAAACAGCACACTGCATTATTGAATAACGATGATTTCAGTAATTCCATTTCACTGGTCGGTTCTGGTTTGTTCAATTTTACTGATTCATACCACTTGAATAATAAACAAACACTTGCTAATAAATCAGCATGCATATGCTGAACTTGTACATCTACTGAAAGTCGGAAAGTTGAAAGTAGATCATTCAGTTTGGTCAAGTAATTGAACAAATCATTATATGACAATCTTTCAATTGATTGATTTCTATTTGGCATATCATAAGCTCTGAAAAATATGAATGAATTCACAGAAAATATACTTATGCATAAAGTAGTACAAGGAGTTGACACTACAAACTAGATAATAGGAACTGTTTAGTTCATCGACTCTGGTGTAGCTGGGATATATTAGTTTAGATATACAAATTCAAGCTAAACCTCACTGATAAACCTTGAGATAACCTGGTAGTAGGATTTGCCATAGTACAACAGGTGTATGTAAACAAGACCGATTTACGAATTAGACATCATCACATAATGTACTTATCAATTGTCTTGCTCATGTAATACAGTACGCACATGTGTACACAGAAAATTGAGAAATTATACAATTTAAAATCTTAGTAAAACATAACGAATGTTATTTTGCACAAAATTCAAGAGCTTTATTATCAAGCATAAACCTAACATTTACTTTTCAGTATTTCAGAACCTAATCTGGTTTATAAAAAAAAGTCAGGTAACATGTTACAATCCACAAACAATGAGAAATGAATGATTAAAATTTCATTTGAATCAGAGAAGAATTTCAGATCTTCAAAGTTGCTTAAGGTTTCATCTCAAATCTCTAAATCCCTACACACAGCTCAGTCGTACTATGAGCAACTAAAGAATATATAACTTACGCTCAGGGTAATTGATTTAAAAGCCTATATATATATAGGAAATCAATTAACAAAAATTTCTGTATTCTAAATAGTGAGTCGCATGTAGTAAGAAGGTTGTGGATTATGAAAACAATGAATGAACTTTCAATATTACAATCACATGAAATCTGATGTACAACTCATTGGCATTCAGACAATTTACACACATTCGTGCAGTAGGCAATGAATTACACCTAATGTGGTGAGGGCGAATGATACTACCTGGCTGCCCGAACCTCGGTAGGTGGAACGGTGTTCGAACCCGTGACCCACTGTTTGATAGTCATCTTCCTAGATCATTAACAATCATTTGTGAAAAGAAATATTTGTTTTTATAATTCAAAAGAAGTAACATAACAACTATTCAAAAATTATTACTTATGTAAGTAAGACAATGTGGTAGTCAGTGTGGTAGCCAACTGATTACCTACGTCCAGTGTTGGTTGAACAGGTGGTAAGTCTTTCTGTAAAGAAGATAAGAACACGTAATTGGTAAAACCTTAGTAACTAATTGTTTGATACAATGCTTATGGTATAAATGTATAAAATATTTTAAAACTTCTACACACACGATAACAGAACTAGCAAACGAAATAAGTGTAGGAATTTGCAGTTGCGTAATTAATCAATAGGGCGGAAGTCCATACACTAGACAGGTGACAGACAAGATATAATTTTCACCTGACTTGAAGGTTCTTTTTATAGCGAATTAAGGCATCATCCTACACAGTTTTCAAAATAAAGAGCGCCATCAGAAAATTGAATCACTTCCATTCATGAAATTCATGAATACACATAAAAACACATTTAAAGTTCGTGGCCACTAAAATCAGCACTCACGAATTACTATCAGTCCATTATGCTGTGTCGTGTTCGATAAACCTTATTCTGCATGTGAGTTAAGTATCACTATCACTGTAGCCATCTTGATACAGAAACTCGCTACGACAGAGTTTAGTGAAGGTGAATACGGATGTTCTATAATAGTCTCATATCGTTCAGATTTCCTAAACGACGTGGTTGTCAACATACGCAGCGCAAACATGAATGTTTCGATAAACATAACTGTTCGCTAAGACTACTAGTGTTTACAGTGTTTCGATAAAAGGTAGGCTATCATCCATGATACAAATCATCCACAATGGATACTTCTAGATACATAGTGAACAATTCGACAGTGCTAGATGACCAATTAGTTCACGCAAACTCTTGCAAACTAGTTGACTCCTTGTAAGTGAACTTCTTAAACTGAGATGTGGGTTTTCAGGTTTGATGATACTTGTCTGAAACACCGGTGCTAACTTATTTCATACAATATATCCAGACATACTAAGTCACAAAAGACATCTGCTGGCTGGCTATGTGCATACATTGTAAACAACGAAAAATGTATACTTCTTCATGAACAACAGTGGAAAGTAAAGTTCCGACTGGTATTAATATACCATTTTTTCCTAACGAAATAGAGAGAAATTATATAGAATAAGAATAAACGTGAAAACATACATCGGATATATATATATATATATATATATATATATATATATATATATATATATCAAAAGCCTTAACCACCGCCAGATATACTCTGATATCCTACGAACACTACCTATGGCTCATTCTGATCAGATGAGACAGAAAATCGAACTGCGAACATCTACCAGGTATTATGCTGCAATTCATCAACCGAAGAGGTAATACATAAGTTGTTAACCGACCATCGGATTATCTTTTTTTCTACTTATGCACCATTCTTCGTGCATCTGAAGAGGGATGAACGCATTCAAGGGAGTAGATAATAATGATGTAGTATTTCGAGCATACTCATATTCCTTCTTGACACGATAATATGGTGGGAGATTGGATGATGAAAGTAAAGATGAAATTTGAATAGCATAAGTCTCATAGGATAAATGGTATGAATATACACGAAAATCCTTGGCTTTTCACTTCAAAATAAACTTCACACATAAATGAAATGGGTTATGTTTGCTGCGGATGTTCAACTTTTCTAAAGGGTGAGTTTCCAGTGCATTTAAACTGATATCAAAAACCTAGTCTATTAGAGCTATAGCCAGAACAGCTATTTAATTAACAGAAATGTTAAATATCTACCGTAATACAGTTAACCATGAAACGATAAAAATGTTTATTACCATCATCAGAATAACACATACCAAAGGTTTGAAGCATTCAATCAAATCATCCAGAATAGATATAGCTATCGGAATGAAATCATCTGATTCGTTCACCGAGTTGTTTGATTCTTTTTTATCCGAAAAAAATGATACATCATCATTGTAATTTAACAGTAATAAACATTTCCAACGGCATGTAACATTGTGTAAAGATGTCAATCGAGAATGGATACGTTCCGTGGATGTATCATTTGATTCGCTATGTGATGTCATTTTATTTAGACATATACGAGTCAACTTCGAAATAAGAAATAGACAGATAAACAAAAATACAGTAAGCCAATGAACATATCACCAAAAAGAATTAAGATTCATCAGCAAAACTGGTAGGGAACAACAAAATATTACACTATTAATCCATAACAACAGCCATTTATTAGATATTTCATAATTAATATCTCAGTGTCATACACACTGACTTACAAGTATTCAGCTAAGGGGTTTTAAAATACCTTGTAAACTTAACACTATTGGTAATCAGATAGTGTTATTACAATAAACACAATTTACTACGCAGTTTGCCGGCTTATACATTTTTAGTGAGTTGTTAGGCCTGATTGAAAATAATCCACTGGTAAAAATTAGGTGAAGTGAGGGAGGAGGCTACGCGTTCTAATAGAATGTATTCATCAATCAGTTTACAATGATAATGTAAATTTTCTGAAAGAGCACTTTGTAAAAAGAAACCAACAAGTGTTTGATATATACCTTAACAATGTAACTCATAATCTAAGTTTAAAATGTGCATTAAGAAAAAGGTGGCAGATTATAACATGGTGAAATAACGACATATAGCCAGAATTGAATCAAATTCCGTATAAAAAAAAAGACACCTCTCTGTATACGCAATAACTCGAGTTTTGCAAATATATATCCATTTCACTGTCTTAGTGACCTGATGATACACTCATGAAAAAAAAAACCAAACAACAAACGTATCCAATATTCTGAATAGCAGAAATAAGTGGGAGACGCTTGGTTCAGCTGATGGTCATCGATGCTTATTACCGGATTCGGAAATGCTAATTCACTATCGACAACCAAAAGAAAACAGCCGTAGGGAACACTTAAAACAGGATAACTTGCAACGCGGACGACTACAATCGAAAAATCCACCAGACAACACAAGGAACTGGGGAGAAACATCCTGTGAGAGAGGTTAGTCAAAGTTTCAAAACCACGAGTATCGGAAGAGGAAGAAGTAAATGACCATGTGGTCAGATTGTTCAAATAAAACTGAGAAACTCTTTTTACGGAAAGGACTAAACTGAAATACAGAAGACGCTTTGGGACCAGAATTCTTCGCCTCCCTAGAGTTATCACTGAAGACTTCAGGATTAGAAAACGAGACCCAATAAGAAATACGACAGATGATCGCACCACAAGACAGACGAAAGTAAAACCAACTAATGACGTACAGACACCTCTTAGGATACTGAAGAATAAAAGGAACATCATTATAGTGAATGAAATCTCAAGTGAACCCGTTCTTCCACATTTCTACGGTAGGCCGAAATACACGAAACAAGCAGCTCCATCATATAAATTGCTTCACTTCTAGGACTTCAGTATACAATATATGTAAAAAAAATTCTTCATAAAACTTGGGTAACTGGAAGGACCATGAGACCATTTTACTAACTCTCCAACGATTTTCGGAGACAATCACGAATATTGATAATGACAACGACAAACTGATGGTATCTTTCGACATTACAGCTCTATTCTCTTCAACTGAACGAAAACCAGCCAAAGACGTAATGACTCTTAGCTTCATCAATGATATGTACCACTCGGATCACACACAACTACAATCTATAAGCTTGATAAAGTCTATTGATTAGTGTCTTACAACACATTTTCAGTTCAAAGGCGAATTCTATAAACGGACAAAAGGAACACCAATGGGATCAACGATATCAGAATTAATTGCAGAAACGTGATGTAAAAGGTTGGAAACTGGTGATCAAATCAAGACTTTGGGTCCGATATGTAGATGACAAGTTTGTCATCAATAAAAGAAATGAGTTGGAAAACGCTTGGAAAGCAATCAAAAATGTTTTAACGGCATCGAATTCACAATTGGAATCAACAACAAACTTGCCTATTTGGATGTTCTGACTACTGGAACAGACTCAGGGGAACTGGGAACGTAAGAATACAGAAAACCAAATCACATGGATCAAATCTTCAACTACAGTGGCAATAATCCAACAACATAAAAAATCAGTTGCATGAAAACATTCAAAGAGCGAAGGCACACTGTACTACATCAGTTTTACAGAGAAAAGAAAACCATTTGATGATTGTCTTTCGGAAGAACGAATATCTACACAACTAGATCAAACGTTGGTGGTGGATTTTTCTATCAAGCAAAAAGTCATCCTTGGAAATCTAAAGATGGATTGTCTTACACTACATGAATAATGTTTCTGGAATTGCAACTAGATTGCTGAAGCCTTTCTCAATCGCTGTAGAAAACAAGCCTACAAAATTTCTTCACTCTAAGTTATCTAGGTCAAAAGACAATACCAAAAGAAGACAAGCTCAAGGTCACCCACAAAAATAAAATGCAAAAAGACCAGGCCGAACAAGGTGATCATCATCTTCGTGTCAGTCTACATAACATCACCTAAAAGTGAAGCGTCATGATATGTTTTCGCTCACATCAATGGGGCTATTCATTCGACCGGGGAAATCCTGAATCGGGACAATAAGAATGTTAGAGAATTTGAAGAAGGTTGATATTCAGCCAACAACAGACATTGACAGTGACCCAAGCTACCAACCAATCAGAGACACAATCATATGGTCAGAGTTCCCGTCAGTAGGACAGTGAATAGACATACAGGTGGAGACTAGGACAAGATTTTAGCAGGAACAATCAGTCACACCCAGAGCCATCACGACAAACTAATTGGTCATTTGTGCTGAAAACCTCAAATCTCATTTCTTTCACAAGTTTTTCGATAACGATGTTATCTAGAATGACAATGAAAGCTTCACAATTAAACCATCCAGCTTAAACAACACAAAATCCATCATTCATTTGAGCTGCAAATAGGCTCCACTATCTCAAAACATCACAAAATGCTTTCTGCTACACTGTATACAAATAACCAGCAGTATAATGAGTTACGTTCCCTATTTTCGATTCAATCCTAAAAACAATCGTTGTTAACAATACTTCCATTAAATATTGTTCATATCTGTTAAACAGTGAGCAAATCAGTGCAAAAAACCACCTCCCTACCGTCTTGTCTACGAGGTCAAATAATTTAACAAGTTTCAAACCCACCTTAAACCACAGTGCATACAAATTGTTTTTCACCATAGAATCCATAACTACCATGAAAGATTTAAAACTTTCATCAGTTGCATAGCTAAAAAATAACCATAAAATAGTTTACATAAAAATGTTGGAGAAATGCTAAATTGCATTGCAAATCTTTTCAAAATCAAGTTTTTAAAAATACGAGGAAGAATATATAGGGAAACAAACTGATTTATATATTGTTAAAGCAGTGAGACACAAAGATGACTAAGTTACTGATGGTTCATCAATTTCATTACTTTGAAAATAATCCTCAAGAAAAGCGGATGATTGTTACACAGATTCTAACTAGGTAATCTCGATTTCTTTTCATAACACAGACCAACAATCGGATAACTCATCGCTAGGCTCTACATTCTAATTAGTCCATCCACTTTTTTTTGCCAAGGTAGTCCCATCCAGGTAACTATAACTTGTTGGGGTAGTTGACAGCTCAGCGTGTGCAACGCAAGACCTTAATAACCTTAATTGATGAAGATTTGTAACCTTGTCAACTATCTGGCATCATCCACCTGGGACTATAAGCCTGATCTCTGTATTACTCAATGGTAATTCCACAATATATAACAGTGCTACACAGGTGGTGGTTAAATACCTTAGGTGACAATGGATCACAGTCACAGAGTATGACACGGTGATCTGCCGCACAGTACACTTCGTTCTAAATAAGTATTAAGATATCACTATGGTATATATAAATATATATATATATAAATAGAATATAAAGATCCATTTGCACTGCCTCAGATAGGTAGATTTTTGTGTGAAACAGAAACGATTTACAATTTTGAAACTTACTTCGTCCTACTGTACATTTCTAAAGCCAATGTACTAATAACATTTCCACAAAGTTCATTTTCTATGTCTGATAACGCTTCCTAAGTAAAAAAATGTAAAAACGAATGGTTGGAAACATTTAGAAAGAACAGTATGTACACCAGTCAATATTATCATGATAAGTATGATGTACAACGAAAGGAAATAAAAACGACCGAAAAAAATCGGTATCATAAAATATATTTTGTTTCGGTACATCAACTTCCAAAAAATCGTAGATATGCTATCAAAACTCTAAGACATCGCTTTCAATAACGTTTCATATTTTTATACATTAAGCCATGAGCCATATTTCCGTGACAAAAACTTAGATTGTGCGATCTTTGCGGTTAGCATACTACTAGACAGAAAACTGAAGACCGAAAGATAAACATAATTAAATCGTGGTACTATAATCCAATTAATGGAACATATGCTAGATTATACCTCCACGATATAACCATTTTTCAGAAGGCTTGATGTATATGGATATGAATCACAAGATAATGTCATTGAAAAGTCCAGGAAATGAAATGCTGGGCAATGTCCTAGACGTCTAACTTATGCCCATCTGAATGGGTAGATTGTAGTAGGCAAGTAACAGCTTCTCTGTGATTTTTTTTTCGAGAACTGTTTAGTGTCACAAAATGATGTTTTCACTTGAGAGCATTTTAATTCATTCAAATCAACAGTTGTTACTTCATTGCATTCCTAATGGGATGAAAAAATCGTTCTAATAGCTAAATCAAATATTCACAATTCATTTGCATTTAATTACACAGTTTGTGGACAGTTTCATCAAAAAAGGTTACCAACTTTTTCGTCTTAGTCACGTGGTGCTCAGTGGTGATAGGACATCGAATACTCAAAGTTATTTGGTTACCCAACAGACATCAAATTAAAATTTCCAGACATGAATTTGTTTACGATACAGCACAAATATCCGGTATAATTAGTAGATACCCATCTTTACATTCGCATGTAACACCTCAAGTCATTGGAATGCGCATAAATTCAGTGTCAGTAAGAAATGAAGATCCTGAGGTTTTTCTCATGCAGAGATGAGTATCTACACTGATTATGAATCTTAGACAGGAACTGAAAGGCATGATGAACCTCATTTCTTTATGAAACAATAACTTCCTGGAAAACTGAGTAGTAAAGATAATGCTAATTAGGTCCTTGAAAAAAATAATTAATGTTTACTCAATGATTGATGATAATTGGTTGTGGAGGCAAATACTTTCAAAAGTAGTGAGAAACCAAGTAAGTAGAGCGGTGTGTCCAACCGTTATCTCATAATAAACGAAGAAATAAGATCCAATGAAAAATTCATACACAATTAGTAAAAACTCACATACCTTTTCCGATTCTCGCAGCTTTAAAAGGGTGAACAAAGGGTTGGTCAGTATCTCCCAAAATGTAGACCTGCAGGGGGAAAATGCACATAATCCGAATAATGACTGGCTTAAGGAGAAAATGCTATTGTATTAATATATACCAGATCAAATTGTCACATTTCTAACAGATACAGTATGAAACAAAACTGTATGGGCAAATAAGACAGTTGAGTTATAAAGATATTCAACATGCTTCACTCCTAAAGCAGGAAGTACTGGCCAAGTCAAGCACATTGATTGATGAGGTTGTAAACCTTATTCGGCTGAGGTGGCTTGTACATGTGTTATGCATACCGACCCACCACCACCTACCTCGGTGTGTCATGCTACGAAGGTCGGGTTTGGTTGGATGAGGGTTCAGGGTGACCTGACCAAGACGTGGAACCAGTCCATGAAACCCTGACTCTTGATTTCGTTCACAGATGTAGATTGTCTGGCTAAGGTCCCGAGACGATAGGAATCAGTATTTGAGAACTCTTGGTGACATGGCTAAAAATCGGTCACAATAGCACAGTTTTATCCACTCTTTGACATCTTCTAAAGCTTGAATATTTGTTCATACTCTCACACAACTTTGTCTACTTCGATATCACTCTTTTTCTATCCACCTGTTCTTTGTGTACTACAGTGAAGTGTGACAACTTGAACCAATGCGCTTATCTTCAAGGTTCTACGTTGATTTTGTTAGTCAGTCTGTCTTCCATAACCATTAAAAAGCATTCGCATCAAATTCTGCAAACCTTTCAGCATCTAAAACTTAATAAATTTGAAGTTTATACTGATAAGGATGGTTGACGCTATCAAATAAAATGTTGAAAAAATTGATCACACCTTACAAACTATAAGAGATCATAATTTAGTGATTTAAAAAATCAGCTTAACAAATTATAGACCAAGAGTGAATTCCATATCTCAAAAACCAATCATAAATGTTTTTCTGGAAACTCACCTTTGTTTTAAGCTCACAATGCAAGGTTGCATATTTAAAAGATAAATGGATGAAATAAATTTTGTCACGCTCCAATATAACACAACTGACAGCTTATCATTGTTTAACTGAGTCTGGGTGAACTTTGCCTGGTAAAAGAAAGGATAGTAGAACTTAGTAAAATCTCATAGAGAAATATGATAGGTGATAGGTGATTTTAAAACAGATTTCAGCAGTTTGCGTTGCAAAAATACCATTATTTTCACAAGTACCAAAGGTGTTTAAACCATAAACCATAAAAAAATTAAAACCTAATTAAATGTCTAGAAAGCATTGTCATATTGCACGAAAATATAGCTATCCACGACAGTACTTGATTATGGTGAATCGCAGCAAAAGTACTCTATCAGTTAGGTAGTCCACGTACAACTTCGCACTTCCATAGCACAGGTCCAAGTCACCACACCTGATATCACCACATCAAGGTAGTAAGCACAGATGGAAGAGAAAAAAGAGTAACCAAAACTAGCAGAAATATGTAAAACGTGCGCAAGAACGAATGAAAAAATTTTGAGGTTCAAAATGGCGATTAGGATAGGATGAAGATAGTGTCTGAATGCATCTGTGCCATTGAGATGGATTCAAAATTATATCACCTAGTTCCTACCACCAATTTCCATTGTCAGGTGGATCTTAACTGAGACGTCTACATTGTCCTACACGCTTCAGACTAGCACTAAAAGGATACATGCATTTATGCCATGTTCTGCTGACATTCTGTGACTAGACAGTCAGTGATTAGGTATTTGAAGCACGTACCAGCCACCCTAAGTCGATTAATTCTCACAATTTAAGCAAATGTCCTTTTACTTTTACCTAAAACGCTACATCTGTCTTAAACGTTATTGATGTGGTGACACCATCACATATGACCTATGCTACCGACGTAACGATGGTCAAACACCTGAACCCTCCTCATCTACCCAACTACAGTGGCCGTTCAGAACCAAGTGTTAGAGCAATGCACACTACGGCACTGTACTCTCGGGTCTTAATGGACAATCAGATATCACGGCGATGCTGCAAATGACGAAGGTTGAACTTGAACCAGTGCACTTGTCTTCAAGGTTCTACGTTGGTTATCTTTCACTCCGAAGGGCTGTGTGCACTGATTGTCTATTCAGGTCTTATTATGTGACTAGATAGTGATAAACATTCGAAGAGCGTGTCAGCCACCTCACTTGGTCGATCTTCATAGTTTCATCAAATGCCGTCTTACTTTTACCGAAAACTGTACATATGTCTTCACTGTTGTTGATGTGGTGACACCATATTAACACAAAGCAGTCATACAAAAGCAATCTGTATTTCAGTAGTGAGAAACGTGTCTCAAACATTCTCAATTCACTATCCAGTATGTCCAAAAGACTATCATGTCAGCGTCTTCACTTAACAGGGCTATAGCATCTACGAAATCTAGGTCTACTGAAGAGTCTCCTGTAAAAAACCGATCCCCGTAAAGCCAGACGAGGTAGTGGAGACTTGTATCAGCACACTCATAACAAAATTCAATGTGTGAAGAGTAGATGTCATTGTCAAACACCCTTCGACATACACAACTCCCAATACCACCTCATCATAGGCTCTACCACACCCATGGGTATCCGAGTACAAAGTCATTGACAGAGTGGTGTGATTACCCGATATCCCTTTCACTGAGAGAAACTGTCACGACACCTCCTGATCGATGGTGTCGAATGCCGCTTTCTGGCCAAGAAATACAGCTATTGTCAGGTGTCGGTATGCCTGTGTTCCAGAGTCAAGCGGAGACTGATTGTTTTGTCTATACATCAACAAACAGGTTGCAAACATGTCTGGCTTTCTGGGTTCGCAGCTCATCAGCTTCGCTTAGACCTTTGATGATGATAAATCGAGGATCTTGAACACTATTTACTTAACCAAATATCTAGTTTCTTATATTAAGAAGAACTCATGGGGATCTATCCATAACTCCCTCTGAGATAGCGTTTGCCACCTTGGTATTCTCTATTATATATGTATATCAAGTAGGAATTAGGCTATATCAGACAATTATAAGACAGTAAGTCACTGATTGCACAGTAATTATTAGCTTTAATTTTGTTCTACAAATACTTGGTACACCCTATAAAATAAATTTAGATATCCATACCTAAATATAAAATCATCGAGATGAAAAACTATTTCCATTCTGTGCAACGCCTTCAGTATGTACTGACTAGGTGAAACAACATATGTTGTCATGGAAATTTAGAGAACAAAAACAACTGAATTACCCAGTTAGTAATTACCATAAGACTTCAAATTAAAGTATGTCCACTGATTACACATCTGAAACACTACTAGGAATCAGAAAGACCTACTCAATTTACCAAACCTCTTTCAAAGATAAAAATACAAATACCCTTCAAAACATGATTGAGTATGTTTGACACTCAGAATTTTAAAAATATTTAGTCTTCAAGAAATGACTTCTTGAAATTTCCTAAAGTAAACTACTTGATTAGAATGGTATGAAGTCAATATCTCCACTATCAAATCATTAACTGTGGATTGTTTTTCCTTATTTTATAAACAAAATACAGTTTACTGTTTATATTCTACGAGAAATCATAAGACTCGCTTTCTAGAAATGATGTGCACTTTAAGAAAATGAACTCGCCAAAACTATAAGGCTTTGAGCACACCTTGCATATAGTATAGAAATATTATTCGTCTGAACACACTGGTGTTGATTAAATCCACTTTAATGTGACATTTATGAGGTGTAAGTTTAAACGTTAGATAACGAACCTGCATTTCATGAACAGCCTGTCTACTACTCACAAGTAAACAATATTTGTTATCCAAATCAAAAAGGTCTGTGTAAAAAGTGCAATTTTTTGAACAGACTTAAGATAGTTTACTTTAAAGCTATGCATACTTGATAATATTCTTAATGTACACTGTGAAACGATGGACGTAGGACTACAGGTACTCAAAGTTTTTCGAAAAGTGTACCTGACTGCAATTGAGTAATATACCGAAATCTAAAAATGTTAGCCGCCACGTATTAAATGTGTTAGACGTAAATACTGTCAATAGATTCATTTTTTCATCATCATCAATTATAATACATAAATCTTATTGAAGTAAAGAGCTAGTAATGAAAAATTCAGTTGGTTTGCTGATAATTTGAGACTAATGAGTAATGTATGATACATAGGTAAACGTTTATTGACTGAATCGAAATTCCACGAAATTGACACAAACAACAATATAGAAGAAACTGATCCGATCCAGGCTCTAAATTACAACGAATTAAGAAAGACTACATCGACTAAATTGTAAGTAAACTGACTACTGAAGAGTAGTTTGGATAATGTAATGGAAAATTCATGCCACTTCGTTTATTTGCTTACGACAGACTCGATTCAATATGGGTCACATTGGAGATAGAGATTAAATTAGTCACTCTGGTCTGCATTGGTACGGTTTTTTTCCACCACAGACTGTATGAGGGCTAGGGTAGCGCCCAGACACCCAAATCAAAGCACGTGGTTTTCTTAAGAGATAACTCTTCGAGCTTTTATTTTGAAGTTCAATCTTAGAAACAGCAGAGAAACACTAGGTACTAAATTCCAATGGCTACCGGTGTTTAAAGTAGGTTCTTTCACTTCGAATCCAGTTGACTGAGAACCAGACTGTTCTGACCATTCTGGGTGTAACTTTGATGCTCAACAATCTGGCGGTTACCTTCGTATATTCACCTTTGTCCCCACTTTCGTAAGAACAACCTCACCACGTGTAGGCAGAGAGAAAAACTTCCAAATAATAGCAACCAATTAGCCGATTATCTACATTTAGTAAGTAACCATTCCTGATATCTTATTAGATTAGATGAGAGTGCATCTAAACTAATTTTCTTAAATATATATTGAGGTATCTAACTAGAAAAACATTACCGCAAATTCCCCAGAAGATCATTATGCACATGGCTGGTTAAACTCTGGTTTGAAAGAATAACAGAACACATTGTCCTAGTGCTTAGATTTAAGTTTTCTGCTGTTCAGTTAACGTCATGTAAGTAAGTGAATGATTGCATAAAATGTAGTCGAAAAATTGCGAATGGGTTCCTATTATCGTAAGAGATCAGATTGCGTATACATTTGACCTGTTAATCCCAAAAGTGTAGTTCATTATCACACGAGTGGTACTCATTCCAAAAGCCGTTAAAAATCACAGGACATTCGGCTTTTCTTTGAGAAAATGTAAGTATTACGACTTCAAGCATAATCGAACTGTGGTTTGCTGAGTTACACACTTGATATTTAATGTATAGCAATCAACTACACTTGTCAAGATTTGCGTAGTCACACGGTATCATCAATCGTGACACAGTATGTGTAGCTCATAAACTAATACACGGACATATGAAAATAGAGACATTAACAAGACTGATTTTCACGGGAAAGGAAGCTGTTACTTTCTTCCGTACTGTCTTGCAATAATCCAGTTTGATTCGCCAAAATTATAGGATTGGTACGCAACCCAATAGTGATTTTTGCAAAAAAAAGACGAAAATGTTTTCCATAACGTTATTAGACGACGAAGATTATATGAAAAATGTGATGTATTTGCACAATACATTTCAAACAATTTGATCACACATTTACTTGTCAAGTTAATAATTTATATATGAAAATGTGATCAGATTGTTCAAAGTGCATTGTGCAAATACATAACATTTTTTAGATAATCTTCGTCTTTTAATAACGTTATCGAAAGAAAGTTTTCCTCATGACCCCAATTTTCACTTAACTTTCTTCAATCATCGGCCATCATCTGAGAAAGTTTGATGTATACAGATTGTTTTCTTTACTCTAGGTGCCGTAGTCAGATATCAGATGACTGTTAACATGTTTCAATCTTCAAACAGAATGTGATTCCACCGAAGTATAGTAACATTTGAAAGTTCGGAGTGTATAAACACTTAAATAAACATATTTTTGCATGTCTGACAAGCACTAACTGAATTATTTTAATGAAGATGAAGGAAATGCAATCACTTACTTTTGATTGTACCAGCTGTTCAAACTACATTTTGTCTCAGTCCAGACGGAATTAAATAAATTTGGAAAGTAACTAACAGAAGAGTTATACTACTTGACACGATATCTAGTGGTCAAACCACTAAACGCTATTACAGTTTACAGTTCTGATAATAGAAGGCTAATATACTACTGTGTTCCAGATTCACAAAAATAATTTTTAAGAAAATTTCCATTTCAGATTTATTCTCGTTAAAATGAAAAATTTATTCAACACCAACAATCCTACCTGTAGTTCGTTGAGTGTAACTATTGCACAATCCAAACAATCAGACTCTGAATTTTCTTCCACACTACTCATCAGCCTATTCAATTTCCTATCGCCACCCGTTACAGATCCGTTAGCTAGAAACAAGCGCAAAAGTCCTCCTGGTAATCGAGAACCAACAAATCCACTCTTCTCACTGTTTAAAACTACCTCCGATAACAAATCATACAATCCAATACGTGTCAACTGATCTTCTGTAGTTGATACTAATCTCTTAAGGCAAGAAGCGCGTATCTGATTCAGTTGGCTACCCAGGTAAATTGTAAGGTCAACGGATGAATACTGTGGGTGAGAACAGAAAAGAAACTGAAGTTAGCTTGATTTATATACAAAATTCCTCTCTGTAAGACTTGAAAGATTCTAACAGTGTAAAGAATGGATGTAAACACATCCATTCTGCATACAAACATGTGTCAAAAACCAACCTGTGCTATCCACTTGAGTAATGCAACTACTAGACGAGAAATTCCAACACTATACGGATACCGAAGATAGGAGAACAGGGTAGTTATATAGTGATCGCCAGTAAGCCGATCATAGTGTGACTGAATACACGTTAGTAGAGGAGTATCTGCATTTGGATTTCCTGGTTCAATAGTTAGTTTATTCTCCAACCCTAGTAAGTGGTGAACTAATGTAAGGGCTAACCACACAGCCCTTATCGTCGGTGAGCTACTGCACATTGAAACTGTTTTCTCAGAAGCATCGATACCATTTGGACAGATTGACATAGGGAAGCTAAAATAAGAAATTTATCATAGAATTTAGATTTCATCAAAACAGGCAGATAGAAAATTAGTTATTATTAGATAACTAAATTAACTGATTAACCAGTTGAGTAAAATGGTGAAATTCTTAAATTTACAGCATATTTTAACCCATGTATAAGTGTGAATTATGATTTAAGAACGGACACGGAATGTTAAAATCCACTAAGTTTGCTTAGGGTAACAGCCGCATGTGATGCTCTTATGCTAGATTTATGTTCCCTTTAAAGTTTTGCTGATATAATTGTAGGTTATATATGATATTCAGCAACTTATGCATGAGTGAAGATGACGAAAAAACCAAGTCGTGACAGCATTCAAACTAGTGATACCTGCATTATCTAGCCAGTGCTTTTACTAACTTTTATCTAACAATGCTAACCAGTTCCCAGTTTAACTTAGCTCAGGTGCCGTATAAAACGGAGATATACGAATATCCTTTTTTCATAATATAAGCTGCTAAAACATGAATATATCGATAAAACAAGACTTAAATGAACATCTCTGGTTAGTAGACCAAAGATGTTTGATGAGGTTTGAAAGCGAATTTAACACTTATTTATATTATGGAACAACTTCGGAAAATTGGATTGCCGGTTAGCTGAGAATCTTGAACTGTCTAAGGGTCAAGGTAAGAAAAAACTTAAAGCAATTATTTGAAATCACTGACATGAATCTCATTGTCTAAACATCTCAGTCTTAGCCTGAAGATGTGATGGGGTGCGTACTATCCTGTGGTTCATTGCACATTAACGTCAATGCAAAATACTCAAAGAGTACTGAACAATTGCCTTTTTTCTATTCTGCGCCTAATTTTTATACTGATCAAAGGGTAAACCATACTCATGATTGAAATAGTAAGATTCACAAACAATTCAGTTTAGATGTTATCAAGGCGTAACAAAAAGATACCATTATGAGATGCAGGCTACCATAAGAAATGCAAGGAAAGTAAGCACTAGTTTATCATCATTAAACAAAATGATGAAAAATTCTTTCTCATTCAACAGATTTCCTTGTCCCAATGTGAATCTAAATAAATTCCTCACCTATTTTCAATTGTTTCCGTTTGTCTTAATAATATGCCGAGATGGATTGATGAAAATGCAACCAAAGAACTAAGTGAGCGTATATCGTTGAATAATAAGTGTAAAGCAATACATTGATACGTTATAGGCCAATGAGTTTCTTCTTCAAAGAAAAACTTAGGAAATATGTTTGACGATGATGATGATGACTCTTGTTTGAGTTGTTTCAAAGTCATCTGTAAAATTTGTATATCCTGATCTGATACACGTGTTGTGAGTACATCAGTCAATAGCATAAAACAATGTTCAGCTACAAATTAATAATAATAATAAAATAATAATGATAATAATAATAATAATAAATAATAATGAAACAATAACATAACCCGTTGGGGTCCACGGGACAAGAGGAACCAGTGGTTGGAGACCCTAGGTGATATGGCTCAGAACCGAAGTCAGTGGCGCAGATGTATACACACATTATCCGCATCCTAACAACGCTATACCGAATCTCACCATTTTGTCACTCCTCTTTCCTTTCTTCTCGTACTTTATATTTCTTTTGACTGCATTCACTTATCTTCATCCTTCGCCTCACTACCTTTTTACTTGATGTGCTGATATGAGGTGTGGCAACCCGGACCCTTACGCAGTAATGCCTGGTCCTATGTTGATAATGATGATGATATTTTAGGAAATTCATATTTTAGTATAAAATTACAAAAGTTACATGTGTCACATCAACATACATAATTAGAAAAATGTTAGAATGTTTTGAAAGTAGGACAAAAACTAAGCTACGAAAATTTTAAATCAAAAATGAATCATGCGTCTTATAACCAACAATATTTCAACGACGTATACTAACCAGGGTGGTAAGGAAAGTATCAAAGATATCCACTTCATTTGATCCCTCTCTGAATCTAAAAGTCTAAGAATGTATACAAAACCATCTATTTCTACTGTATTCAACAACAACACTGATGAATTTATACCTTATGAATTAATTCAGAATCCAGAAATAAACACTGATACATTGAACGATAGTTGTGCTACAGCCATTTCTGGTTTATTTTAAAGATTTTTAGTAAAATATTCACATCCATTAAAAAGGTTTAAGAACTGGAAAGAAACAATTCGCTTTACGGATTTATGACAAAGATTTGGATGCATATATATGACAGAAAAACGTAAAAATGTCAAACCTACCTAAGTTAGCTAACCGATCAAATCCACCTGTAGGAAATTGTCTGAGGGACTCCTGTTAGTGCTTCCAAGACAATAATCTACTTGTAAACATGTAGTCATTAAACATTGAATTATAAATACAAGACATCCATGAATTAGCTCGGAGCATTCTACGTACAATGGCATATAACCATGTTGAATATTTTCATTGATGAACTTTGAATTAGCATACGCCCATCGAACAAAAAAGAACAATCCTGACATAAAGTTGATGTATGAAATAAGCAAACCGTAATCAGCTGGACGAATGTAGAAGGGAGATATAATATGAGGCCTATAAACAGTAACTGGTTCAGATGACTTATAACCAAGAATATTATTGATCAGATAACAAGAGCTAAGCGCAAAGGTAAGTCTGAAAAAAGTACAAAAACGTAAAACACTAATGACGTTTATTCACCATTAACTTGCATTGATTTATCAAACTTCTAATAGGTAGTAACACTTCGGTTATGCATTACGGTTAACACATATAGTTTAGGCAAGCGCTGAATTACTAATTCTGACGCAAGGCATATACTTTCGTCTAAGCATATGCCAATGGTTGTTGCCTTTCAGAACATTACTAAACTGCATCAATATTATTTAGATTCAAAGAGAATTAAAAGTACGACTTGGTACGTAAAATGCATAATGCATATTTCAGTCAGTTATCAAACGGAAAACATGCGAATTTATACCCGGGAAAATTTTAACAAATGCAACTCAGCAATTGCTGATATATTTATGTATCATCGCTAACGCATAACTGTCATGCAGATGATAACAGTACATTTCATAGCTTGCTTTTCATACTAACTGATCAATTATATCATTTGCATTCATAGGATTTATATTACTGACAAGAAATAAATGACTATCATAAATCATGTTCTCAAAATATCCTATATCTACTTTCAATTCCCAAAAGTTTCAGTAGAAAAAAGCAAGTTGATACGATTGGCCATGAGGTAATCGTATCTTCAATTTTAAAATAATATGACTAAATTTCCTTTCATTCATAGTGGATAAATAATGTAAGACTTTCTGTTGAGTATTCTCCAGAAAGTAGGAGTTGATAAATGCAAATATCAGATCATATTGAGAACATATTTGTTACTCATCCAGCTCTCAGCATTAAAAATCATGTTGATCAAAGGTTTATTTATTCTTTGCCATCTATTGGGTGTCTGCTACTTTCCTTCAGTGGATCACAGATTTTGGCAGTTAGTTACTGCCAATTAACCCCTGTAAATAATATTTGCGGCATAATGTCCTAACACCGAGCTGTAAACAGTTATGAAGTTTAAAATTCCTGTTAGAATATTGTAAGAAGACTCCATTTGTAGTGATGATATCATAAAACGAATATACTTGCTGATATGAAAACTACGGTTCTCGAACGTTCACAGGGTACCCTTGACTAGAATTTTGCACATGAGCTTACTGCACTACTCTTACTACTACTATCATGGTTAAAAATAAAAATAATTCAAATTACCCTCTACTTTCAAAGATAGTTTATGAGAATTGGATCAACATTTAATAAACAAAACTTACGGTTGATTTTTACCACTTTGATTAATAAACATTCGTGGCATAAGATTAGTACTACTCTTTAACACACTGGTGAGTAGATTAACATTATCTACAATCAGTTGGTTTGATGTTATGGTCGGAAGATTGAGTAAAGAACATCCAATTAAACTAAGTAAACTGGGCAGTAAACACGAGGTGATCAGTTCCTCAACTGGATTACAATTCACATTGGATTCATCTGGACATATTTTGCTTTCATAGACTTTTTGATGTGTCTTGATGAGTGATGATGTGTTAATTAAATACTGGACAATATGATCAACTCGACTGGATGAGACAAGATTTAAATAATGCATAATTATCACCCATATATATTCCAGTGACACTAAACACGGATTAATATAGAAATCACACTGAAAAGAATAAAAAATCCAATAACAAATGAGTTTCACAGTTAGTTGAACTGATAAAAGACAGGAAATATTTCAAGGTAGTATTCATCATAAAACCACTGAAAACCTCAGAGTACTGGATATCTGTTTCGTTGTAGTGTGGGGACCCTCAGCAGTGAGCACCTACAATCTACCCGGAGATCAAACCCATGACCATCAGATCTCATGGGAACCACATTACCAGGAAATATCACAACATATGCATAGTAAGTGTTGTCAACTAATATAATATTCTTCCTTATTGCATTGGCTTACCCAGTAATGAGTGTTATTCAACTTACGGAAGAGGAGCCCATTTGAACACAAAGTGAGATTATATCTGGATGTTGCAGTAAGATTGAAGATAATGAAACAGGAATACTGAAAACAGAATTTTGTGCTTGCAAGTAAAACAACTTTGCAGACGCCTTGTGGAAAATTGAGTGATGCAACTAAAAGAGTTACTTCCAGTTTGTTTGAACGTAGGACAAACTAATATTTGACTAAGATAGCCGTAGTTTGGAAGACTAGTATTTATACTAGGTGGTGATTGAAGGTTAAGTGAAAATTTGGACTACGGCTAGACTCGAACCAGCGACCACTGAGTTCCCGGCCCGATGCTCCGACTGCTGACCAGATTTGATTTCATTTCAATCACCATGGGTTATGCCCGACTACCATGTGAATTCATGACACGTTACTTACTACCGCTTGTTCGTATTCACATTGGCTGCCTAGTCAGGACTTCTCAGGTAAAACCCATTGTGAGTGAAATGAAATAAAAATCTGGTCAGCAGTCGGACCTCGTACCTCGATTGGTAGAGCATCGGGCCGGAAACCAGGTGGTTACTGGTTCAAATCCGGTATCGGTCAAAACTTTTATTTCACCCTCAACCATCACCCAGTTTAAATACTAGTCTGCAAAAACTACGGCTATCTCAGTCAAGTGATAATCAGTATGATGCCCCCCTCTCTAATTTAGAGAGATTTGGACTGGGATGAGAAGTCCTGACTAGGCACCCAATGTGAGTACGAACTTTGATTCGCAAACTATACTGAGACAGTGACATTGATTTTTAGTTCCAAAGTGTGCTCTTTGGGTTGACTTTTATGAAATATGCACTGATGGCTTTTAATTACAGTGACTATGAAATGTTCATGGATAAATTATCCAATTCGAAGAATTAACAACCATCAAGAACTAATTACAATACACAATGTAAAACTAACACGAGATATTTCAGCGAAATGTTCTTTTCGACGAAATATTTTCAAAGCTGTACATCGTAATCATAGTTATAAATCCATCATTAGCTAATAGGTCAATATAAAGTCATCAAAAACGGTCAATAAAGGCACGAGGTGATAACGGCTACAAGGTCAACTCAATGTCATCGAAAACTGCTTATGGAATCACAATAAACAAACAAGCAGTAAACAAAGAATTGAATAAAATATCTCAGATAAAACTAAAGATTGAATGTGTCTCTTTTGAAAGTGAAGATCAGGCTTGTACCGCTGGGTTACCAAAGTCTCTGCTGTGTTGAGGTGGTGAATACTCACTCCCTTCGAAATGTTTGACCACTTTACAAATGACTTTGAAACAAGACTCATAGAGCAAAGTGACTAGAGTTAAACAAATGTTCAAGAATCGAGCTCTTGATGGATTTACGCTCTCCTTTAAACAGTCATGCAAAGCAGTGTTCGGAGATGCGTTTGAACAGAACATACTTTGTGGGACCTATGTAACCAGCTTGACAAGAGCAAATGAAATGACGAGCATCAGTTTCCCGAAGCGGTAGGTTAGCTTTTATATACCCTCGAATCAGTTGTTGACTGTAGAAAACAATCCGAAGCTGGGTAGAAAGTCTTCTCCAGTGCTTTGCACAGTTGATTCTTCAGTGTCCGTGCTAATGTATCTCTCTTAATTCCACCGACCCTAACCTCTGGCATTCAACGCGTAGCAAAGAAACGTGTGACTACGACTGACGTTTAATAACACAGAAAATGAAAAAATAACTTATGTTAGTTACCTTGAGGCATGCGGAAATAAAGTTAACAATTTCTAGCAGTCGCGTCAATCTGATATAAAACTGAGCATAGTATTCAGCCTGGATATGAAAAGCTTCAGAACAATGTGAAGTACCATTTGGCAGTAAATAGGCTTCATATGTCTGAGGTGATGAGGTGATTGATTTGTGAAGCTTATTAAGGGCCAATTCAGTTAGATGAATTTCGTTGCCAATTATGTGCCACAGAGAATATTCAACACGCCATACAACAAGACCCAACTCTGTTGATAAAAGTTATTTAACGATCACATTTATAGAATTATAATATTATAGTACTTACATTATATCTTTAAGCTAAAAATTATTTCAATGGATGTAGAAACTTGTGTAAGAAGGAACAGAAATGAGACTGGAAATAAACTATTAAGATAAATAAAACAAATCAATAGTTTTCAGTGACTTTTTCATAGCTATATATTCTGATATGACTGTCGCTTTCAATGCTTGATGTTTAAATGCTCACTAAACGAAAAGCACTAACAAAAAGAGCATAAGATCTGAACATAAATCACCATCTTTCCGACACAATGCGGATGACGACATTTTTCGAAATTAGAAAAAGTTCAACATTGATCGAATAAAACAAAGTCAATAAGAGATTATCAAGCGAGACAGATACGTGTTATATAAGGGTTTGGAGTGTTCTATGCACAAGTTAGTGCATAATTTGAACAAGTTTGTGTTGATGCTCTCAAGATTAGACAATCAATTTCTTTTTTTTTTGGTCGGGTTGCGATACTCGACCGATAACATTTTGTGAACTGAATGAATGGTCTTTAAAAAAATACCAGACGGAGGAAACCAGTACCATAAAACTGGGCGCATTAAAGTTGGGGCGAGGAGAAAATAAATAGTTCAAGTGCGGTAATTCAATCATATGACTGAAAAGTCATAGTAAATGGTTTGTAGAAGTTATGAAAGACAGGAAAGTTATTGTTATTTTATGATGGAAATCGAAATAAAAAACTGACATCTGGGAAAGTTTTTACACAATGGTAATTACACAAGTGAAAATACATCCTAAACAATGAATGTGAATTCGCATTACAAAGTAAATCTACGCGTAAAGTTATGCTTTCAATTACAAAATAATTCCAGATAAGAGGATTATTCTACTAAACAGTAGAAATAAAATCAACACGGCTCTCAGAGGTAGGCAGATTACACACATCATAGTTACCAGCAATGCGGTGCAACCTCACAATTAGCTTTCTACCTAATTATCTCATGGGATGGAAGTCTTCCACCAACGCTATGTAGTGATAACTGATAGCAATATGGTCTATATGTTTTCACCATTGAGTTAAGGTCGATGAACGCCACACCAGGCAAGTCCTCCTTACATGTATGAAGTTCATGCTGGCATTAAATAGATGGTTGTCTGAGTAGAGTTGTAGTAGGTGATCGTGTTTGTCCGTTTATTAGACTAGGATTTCCGAATCGGTACTTGAGTGTCTTGCTGTCCAACTTAGCCTACCCACCTATGTAGTGAAATCACTTGATATGACGACCACATTTGAAGGTCTAGACTTCAGCAGGTGAAACGGCTTTTGATCGAGTTCATCTGTCCCGCCGTACAAATTTCAGTTAGCGGGAGCGTAGTCCAAGACTATAAAGAGCTAAAGATGAGATTAGCGATACTTTTCAATCCCCGCTGCGCAACTCATTTAAACCACACGGGCGACTGTCAACAAGGATCCAGTCAAGCAGTGTACTCACTGCCTTAGAACTTGATCCCATACCTACACCTGCAAGACAGCTAGAAGTAACTGCGGAATCTCCAGGAAATTAAAGGGTGGATTTTGATGACCAACAAAAGTGGCTGGATGAAATAAAGTAAATAGCCATAATTGGGTTTTGCATATGTGTCTCAAAAACACCATCTATTTATGGTGTTGGAGAGACTTGGTGTCTGACTTGAAGAATAGTGCGGACACTGGAAGCTTTGGTATGTAGTTTGGAGTGCGGTCTCCGGAGACTAATGATACCACTTTTGTGGGCTCAAATCGTTATTGATGAATGGGGAGCTAGAACAAATTAAAGATGATGTTGGAGTATTTACCATCAGATGCGAAGAGATATCAGAAAGTAAGGATACAGAAGGTTGATCATGATTTGGGGGAACTTGATTGCTGATAGAGCTGTGAAGATAGTCGACACTCACCGGCTGCTCATGTCGTGGAAGACTTGTTTTTTGAGGTACCTGAAGAACAAGGGTTAGTGAATGACGGTCACAAACAACTTTCAGTTGTTTTTTTTTGTGTGAATCCGACTATAAACCGACATAATCACCGGTATAGCGCATAGTAGGGGGAATGTGCCATTTTTACGGTCGATCTTTTCTAAATCCCCTCCTTTTCCCACCAGAAAGACAGCAGCAGCGTGGTACTGCTGGCCATTCGCAGGAAACACCTTTCTCCTATCACACCCCATTCAGCCAACAGTATGACTTCGTCCTCAAACCACCATTATAGCGCGACAATTGACACAGTAATGATAACTGCTCTTTGTTTTACCACAATCCGACTGGCTTTTTGGTATGGTAGGACCTCAAGAGAACAAGCGTTCCATAAACATATCTAGTTGGGTCACTGTGGTATGCAAACCCAACCACTATTCTCAAAGTAACAGTTATCAGTTAGGATCATTTAAAGAAAAAAGAAAAATTAGTTTGAAAAATAAGAATAATCTTAAAGATTACGTGAACTAAAATTAACTTCCTGTCACACTCACCTTGATCAACATAACCATAGGTGCCAGATGGCAAGTAGACTCCGGAAAATATGTTAATTTTGTCTGGTAAATTGGTTTGTCCTGAAATAACTTTTGAATGTTCTGCCATAACTGTTCGGGATTTTTTTAAAACTACTTGATTATTGTATTTCTTACCAGCACCCAGTGTTAACTGTGGGCATAATAACGAGCGTTGTGGAGATAATTGTCGAGACAGTATTTCAGTCAATGGCTCAGCAAGATACGGGACATGGTTTATAAGATCTTTGACATTATTTAGTAAATCATCTGATCCTGATACATTTTTAGTATCATTTGATGGGGATAGCAAACTTGTATAAATACGTAGAACACTGAGATCGTAAGGAAAACCTAGAATTTAAAAGTTTGCAGACGATAGATTTCTTTATTTCAAAATATATGCTTTAAACATGTAGTTGATGTGCTGATGAGGTATCTAAATACAAACGTTTTATTGGGCTTTTAAGTGGACACTCATACAATACTGATCGCTTTCTTTAATGGCTATAATTACTACCTTGCAACTGCTAAGCTGTTCCGGATATACAAGTTGAAGCTCTGCATCATGCCTGTTGATGCTTAGCAGCAAAACGCATCAGTAGTCTCAAAGAAATTCCTATTCCCTCAGAAATTGAGGTACGGCTTGCTCATCACCAGAAACTAGGAATTTACAGACGAATGATTCAAGTTATACGCATACCTTACCTTGTTTATTAGTGTCAAGAAAGAAATACATATGCATTACTTTAAGGATCCAAGAAATAGCAGTGTTGAATGCGTTAGTTAAGTGGCTTTATTCAGAAGTCCGATAGCAGAATGCATTGAGCACGAAGGTTGTGGTATAACACCAGTTTCGCCTCAGCAGCAAACGCCTAGTGTTTGTCCATAAAACTTAAGTACTATCGAATAATGCATTCAAATATTTAGGCTACGGGTTTATATTTAGTTTAACTATTCCGCATGCTGGAGTAACTTCTTTATAAGTAATTCAAAAAAAACAGCCTCTTTTATGCCACATTTACATGCTTGCACTCAATAAATGATGATCGACGCCACAGTCGTCACTGGAGTGCACACATGTTATAGTGGTAGAAATGAAAACAGGTTAATTGTACTATGCCCTCCTGAAAAACACTATAATAACCACTTAACTATTGTTTTTACGAATAGCTCAAAAGTTTTTTTTCTGCCTGTAACGAGAGGCTTGAATGATGAAATGAATACATTTTTAGAGGTCTAAACAGTGACAACTAGAAGTAACGGTTGCGCAAGAATACAAGGACTGAAAATAATCTCTTGTTTTTATCACACATTCATTATGTTATATATCGATATTATTTCACTACAATTACTTTGATGATTACAAATACTGGCAATATGCCACTGTCGGTAAACTTTGACACGAGTTAATGCTCATAGTTATACAGCTACATAACTTCGATAATGAAAGCTTTTAACACAGTGAATTACTTCATTTGACTACAAACAATAAACTTCACCCAAAATTCATTATGTAGGTCTGCTTGAATAAAGTATTTTGAAAATATCCAATAAAACGTAAGACTTCTAGGTATCATTTCCACAAATCTAGGTTACCAGCTCATGAGTACTGCTACAACGCTGATGGAGCAGTAAATCAGTTAATTTTTTTTCAAAAAGCGGTGTTAAGTCTTTCACAATAAATTATCAAATTACTACTCATGAAAATATGTTAATAATGATAAAAGCAATAATACAACCTGTCAGCGATGTGCAGGTTCATATACTAGACTGCTGAGCGCATCTACTGTATGAGATCTAGTAAGGTTAGATGCTTGTTCAGAGTTAAAAATTATGTACTAAATTTGACTGTATATATTACATCGCAAAAAATGAAAATATGGAACGATTACAGAGGATTATGTGCAGCTACGTCAAATTCTTCGTTTTGTAACCCAGTGATACCAATAACGAATAGCACTAGCGTAACTGAGCAACGGCATAGATCATCAGATACACCTGTTGTGTGATATTAACGACTTCCCTCAGTCTTATTAGTGGGAAAACACGTCAAACTCATAGAATGACGACCGAATGAAAAATGAACAAACCAGCGAATTACGTCAACAGTAGTTGTGTACCGAAATACTAATGACTGTAAAGAAAACAAGTTGCTGTACAGCGTTTTTGATAATGGTTAAAAGTCATAAAACCGATTGCAAAAAAGTTGACAACTCACTCTCCATAAATGATTCAATGAGTCCGAAAACGCGATAGCCAATTCTTGGGCCACTATCCATTAGAACATCAGTAACATCACTGGTAGTTTTAGAATCTCCTTTCGGTCTTGAACAACAGGCCAAGTGTGCATTTGTCACAACAACTCTTAGAGTTCGTGAGAAAAGAACAAGAAATGCATCTCTGTTTGGATAGTGAAGAGAATGAAATAAGTGTGAGTCAGGAGGACGACTACTGTCCAACGACCACAAAGTAACATCCCGAGCCAAGAGTGTAACTAGATCGAAGATTGCACTATGGGCACTTATGCTAACAAGACTAGGATTAAACCCAACGTAAGCGAGAGAAGCAGTTGAATCCACTGATGAGACCTATTTAGGGGAAAAAAACAAAGAGGAAGTGGTATGGATTTAAATCGGTTGGAATGGTAGGGAAGCCAGGAAGATCCAAACCATTATGCTTGCACGAATCTAGAATAAGAAAGGTGATGTTAACTTAGATTACAGCCGATAAAAATGCATCAGTAGCTTAATATCAAAAAATTAGCAGATGGACTCAACAGTTCAATCCCCAGTTTACAATCCGGCAAAAGTTTAAAAATGACATGAAATACAACGATAAGTTGTTACGTCACGTGGAAGGATAAGCTAGACAGCAAGACACTCAAGTACCGATTCGGAAATCCTAGTCTAATAAACGGACAAACACGATCACCTACTACAACTCTACTCAGACAACCATCTATTTAATGCCAGCATGAACTTCATACATGTAAGGAGGACTTGCCTGGTGTGGCGTTCATCGACCTTAACTCAATGGTGAAAACATATAGACCATATTGCTATCAGTTATCACTACATAGCGTTGGTGGAAGACTTTCACTTCTTCTGAAGCACGCGTTCGGATAGTGACTACACATTGGTTCGAACACGTATACGTTTGTGCTTGAATGGAAGTAGAAAAATCACAACTGGAAGACCGTTTTGAGTGTAGCTACCTGATGAGGTTGCTAAAGCTATCTCCAGAGAGAAACTGGCTAAACAAGCACCTGAACAAGACAGCGTCATGCATACTGAAGAAGCTTGATACCCTTTCCGGTCTCTCATAAAAGCAGTTGAAGACGTTAACGGACCCTCAAGAAAAGGTTGGAAAGAGTCAGCCGGTTAGTGAAATTATGAGGACGAAAAATGGATTCGCTTTTCACACGCCAGAGAAGATTTCTATAAACAGTACACATCCCCTCAGTTACTGCTTCACTGCCGGTTATCCAGCCACATTTTGCGTGTACAATGATGTACGGCTGTAAGTAATCTGAAACCACGAATGGCAACAAATCCAAATGACCTGGTACATTAGACCCTCGAGAACAGTGGTTGAGGATTACTGCTCATACCGGGCGAAGTGTTAGTTGGAGAATGGGAGTTATATATGATCCTCTCCGTCTGGTCTCCATCAGCGATTGTCCCAGTCTTCAAAAAAGAAGAGCTCTCAGTTGTAACCACAAAGAGATCAACCTGACAAATATACTGTTTAAGATTCTAGGTTCCACATTTATCATATATATAAAGCTGAAAAACAGTGAACCCGAAAAGACGACAAAGACTACAGACCTGACCATATGTGTAGTGACCAGATATTTACCCTCCATTAGACTCAGAAACAGACATACCGACACCTGACAATAGCTGTATTCCTTGGCCAGAAAGCGGCATTCGACACCATCGATCAGGAGGTGTCGTGACAGTTTCTCTCAGTGAAAGGGATATCGGTAATCACACCACTCTGTCAATGACTTTGTACTCGGATACCCATGGGTGTGGTAGAGCCTATGATGAGGTGGTATTGGGGAGTTGTGTATGTCGAAGGGTGTTTGACAATGACATCTACTCTTCACACATTGAATTTTGTTATGAGTGTGCTGATACAAGTCTCCACTACCTCATCTGGCTTTACGGGGATCGGTTTTTTACAGGAGACCCTTCAGTAGACCTAGATTTCGTAGATGCTATAGCCCTGTTAAGTGAAGACGCTGACATGATAGTCTTTTGGACATACTGGATGGTGAATTGAGAATGTTTGAGACACGTTTCTCACTACTGAAATACAGATTGCTTTTGTATGACTGCTTTGTGTTAATATGGTGTCACCACATCAACAACAGTGAAGACATATGTACAGTTTTCGGTAAAAGTAAGACGGCATTTGATGAAACTATGAAGATCGACCAAGTGAGGTGGCTGACACGCTCTTCGAATGTTTATCACTATCTAGTCACATAATAAAACCTGAATAGACAATCAGTGCACACAGCCCTTCGGAGTGAAAGATAACCAACGTAGAACCTTGAAGACAAGTGCACTGGTTCAAGTTGTCACACTTCACTGTAGTACACAAAGAACAGGTGGATAGAAAAAGAGTGATATCGAAGTAGACAAAGTTGTGTGAGAGTATGAACAAATATTCAAGCTTTAGAAGATGTCACAGAGTGGATAAAACTGTGCTATTGTGACCGATTTTTAGCCATGTCACCAAGAGTTCTCAAATACTGATTCCTATCGTCTCGGGGACCTTAGCCAGACAATCTACATCTGTGAACGAAATCAAGAGTCAGGGGTTTCATGGACTGGTTCCACGTCTTGGTCAGGTCACCCTGAACCCTCATCCAACCAAACCCGACCTTCGTAGCATGACACACCGAGGTAGGTGGTGGTGGGTCGGTATGCATAACACATGTACAAGCCACCTCAGCCGAATAAGGTTTACAACCTGACCAACCGACTTGCCTGTCTTGGTTACCCTTCGCCTGACCTCAACATTCCTCACACAGCGATCCCACCAAACGCAAGCAATGTTATGAAGACATCTGTGATCAAATACCTGTAATCGTTTGATGTCTTCTACTTTAACAACCATGTCTCATCCGTATAACAGGACAGAACGGACCGCAGCTCAGAATACTCATTCTTCGGTAAATAGTCGGATATTTCGCCAATCGACGCAAGTTGGAAAACGCTAAAGGGCTTTTGTATATCAGCTGAGATTTCGTCAGTAACCGGCCAGTTCGGACTGATTTGACTCCCCAATTAAGTGAAGTAGTCGATACATCCACACCACTACATTCACTCCCTATCAGCTGAGGTGACTTGTACATGTGTTATGCATACCGACCCACCACCACCTACCTCGGTGTGTCATGCTACGAAGGTCGGGTTTGGTTGGATGAGGGTTCAGGTGACCTGACCAAGACGTGGAACCAGTCCATGAAACCCCTGACTCTTGATTTCGTTCACAGATGTAGATTGTCTGGCTAAGGTCCCCGAGACGATAGGAATCAGTATTTGAGAACTCTTGGTGACATGGCTAAAAATCGGTCACAATAGCACAGTTTTATCCACTCTGTGACATCTTCTAAAGCTTGAATATTTGTTCATACTCTCACACAACTTTGTCTACTTCGATATCACTCTTTTTCTACCCACCTGTTCTTTGTGTACTACAGTGAAGTGTGACAACTTGAACCAGTGCACTTGTCTTCAAGGTTCTACGTTGTTTTTGTCAGTCAGTCAGTTGAAAGTGGTTGCAGAATTAGGTTAGGGAAGGTGTGAGGAGCCTAATATCAATATTAGGAGGCGAAGGCAAGGAGGTAGACAGAGTTGAAGGGGATAGGTTGTGTTCGATTGGGTCTTGTGCACTACTGGAAGCGTGCAAGCAATTGACACTTTCTGGCTGCCTGCAACATGGAAAGCTAGTTCTTCTTGAAGTACGTGAAAAAGAAGGGATACCGTATGACGACAGAGCTCAATGGACATCTCTGCCTGAGGTCGCCCACACATGGCCTTTTGCTAAATTTGATATTTTGGTTTTGTAGTAGTTTAGTAGGACCTTGAGGGAAAAAGTGTTTCACCAGCATATCTGTCTGAGTCATTGCGATATACAAGCCCGATCACCACGTCAAGGTAGCAACTATCAGTCCACATGCCAACCGAAAGTGGTAGCCGAAACTAGGTGATGTGGTTTTGAATCTATCTCATTGACACAGATGCCCCTAGACACTATCTTCATCCCATTGTAATCGCCATTCCGAATCTTAAAATGTATTCATTCGTTTTTGTGCTTGTCTTACGAATGTTTGCTAGTTTTGGTTACTTTTTTTCTCTTCCATCGATGCTTACTACCTTGATGTGATGATGTGAATTAGATCTCTACGCAGTAATTCCAGGTCCCAACCTGATGCAAACAGGCATTCAGTCGAAGTAACGGTTATTATTGCAAACGAATATCAAAAACAGGGATCCAATGTTGGGTGTCGATGAAATTGAAAATAAAATGACATCAGAAAATGGATGTTAAAGAAACTTGTCCCTTTGAAGTGTCTGGCAGATTATCACTGAGTTCCTGTGATATTTGTCAGCTCACTTTGAGGGATATCGAAAAGGGCCACGAAATCTGTCTGGTAGTGACGTCGTAAAACATGTAACCTGTATTAGCCTGCAGTAGTTCCAGCTTATGTGGGCTGCCAATAACAAGAAGCCTAGTGTAAGATAGGTTCTGTCAGTCTTATATTCATGAGTAGACAGATCAACAGTTACAGAACCTAAGAAAAGCATGCAAGTTAACCTGTGATGTACGGATTTTATCTGTTAACCAACCACTCATTTACTACCTGGTTAGACCACCGTCTCAGAAATAGATGTAGCCTTTTAAGCTGACGAACAGCTGGTTAAAAAGCTGTGCTTCTCGGGATCATAAAGAGATGGGAATGAAAGTTGATCAGTAATCTCCCAGTACACCCGAAACGCCAGACGCAGCACTTCGAAAAGCAGGTCACTTGTCTTACTATACCGAAATCTCCTACTTGTGTTTTGCTTTATATATATATATATATATATATATATATATATATATATATATATATATATATATATATATATATATATATATATATATATATATATATATATATATATAGTAATACCAACGAATTTCCCAATCACAAGCAGTAGTCACACCGCAATGCCAAAATGTGAAAAACAACCGTTGTGTATATATTCACTACAGGCATTTTAAATAAATTGATTCATTGCACAATGTACAAACCTTTCAGGTACGCATACAGTACTTTCATAAGATTGACTGAGGACCTACAACATTCATGAGTACTACAGTTGGTTAGGCTGAAAACTTTACAAGCAACGGACTAACCTGGGGAGGCTGACAGTTTGCCTGATCCAGTTTCCCAATTAGAAAGTGAAACACGTCAAGGTTTTGAATTGCCAATTGAGCGCAGCGATCAGAAATCATGGAAGCATCATTACTATAGCGCGACTTCAAAACACCAGGCAATTCATGAGTTGAGTCAGGACTATGATTCGATGAAGTAAGCGAATGTGATCCAGAACGAGTAAACGCAGTTGCACACACCGCACCAAACAACAATAATGGTCCATGTACTTTATGCTCACCGAGACTTGATAGGCTAGCTAATAGTCGGTTTAACAACGAGGAGTCATACAAGAAGTGAGTAGTATTCCCGTCAGCTACTTGTACATTCTTTGAAATTGGAAGATCTTCAACGATTGACTCAGATTTACAAGAAGGGATAAGGTTGACATTTTCTAACCCCGGATATGTGGTCAAAAGATTGAGTGACCTTCATACAACATAAAGATGAATAAGATATATAAAAACATGACTGCATAGTTTTCAGTGAAATATTGAGTAAAACAAACGAGATATTAACTTGAAGATGTAATGAAGACTTACTTAGTTGAGTACAAAACCAGTGAATCCAAATTAGCCGCTCGAATAAGAATAAGTGTTTGAGTAAAGCTGGAAGAGTTAAGACGAAACAATATTGTACTGTGACAATTTCTAAATGTTATCAAACACAACACCCCTAAACTTAAACTAATAATCATAAAATATAACAAAGCACTTTCGGAATAATAGAAAATTAGTTACTGTGTGAATCTGTAGAACGTGTTCTGCACGAAAGTTCATAGATAAGATGAAAGTGTAACTATTAGTATTCCTCCCATAAAACTAAAATACACAATACAATAGACAATAACCTGAGGTTTGTCTTCAACTTGGGGAAACCTAGCTCTTTTTAATTGAGTATAGCCAGAATTATAAACATCATTTGTTGAACAGTTTTGTCCCTACTAGATGGAAGGAGTCACTTAATTTAACCGATCTATTGGAAGTGAACCATGGCCTCACGATTTCTAGATGCAGCCAGGTGGGTTAACGGTTGAACAGCCAGTCTACCTATCAGTGAACACTAAAAGCTTGTATAAGATATTAAATTTAAAGCGAAGGAAGCAAGCATTTCAAAACAAATTCTAATATGTAACAAAAGCATCATCCGAAAACGAGTGATACTGAATCTACAACTTAGTTCAACATTAGTGAGCTTTTAATATGCACCAAGTAAGAACTAAATATGAACACTTACCAAAGTTGCTCCACTAATAAATGATGTGCCTTCAAATTTCTGAGAGAAGACCCATAGGAAACAGACTAAAACATGTTTAATGGTATGCTACGAACTCACCCAGAATGTTTCCAATATCTTTGTGAATAAAAAGGATGGATTTTCGAGTGTGCCTAACAGAACCATACCATGAACGCCCAGAAGGATAAGTTCAAGTAGTTCGATCAATTCCTTAAGCTTTTGTGAGACAATGGCACTTAATTGATCAGATGTGTCGGGCACGCTGATGCCATGGCTTGAAACAATACTCTGCAAAAATCAAGTGAATTATCAAAAAAGACATACCGGTGACTGATGCCAACTTTCGACCAACGACAACGTATTTTGATGCTCGTTTAGATACTCAGATAAAGCCTAAAACAGTTAACTTAAAAGGAAGGCAAGCTACGGCAATGATTAGATCCACTCGATTATCATACGACGTCATCGCAAACAGAACATCGGAAATCAGAGACCAAGAACGGTGCCATTGGCAAACACATACTTTAAATAGTCTCAATAAGCTTAAACGTTCTTTCCAGTAGTAGCATCGTATATCCTCCAAAAGTGGCTTGCACATTCACTCAAGATAACTTCCTAAAACTGTGGTTAGAAAACGCATAGAAAACTACGTTAATGCGATCCTCTGGGACATCATGTGTTGCGAGGAAATGCACCAAGATTTCACGACTTAAAAATTCAGAAATGTTCTGCACTGAATAAATATCATTTTATTTTACAAACCAGGAAGGCTGATATCCGTTTGACGAAATGTCGCACTTGTTCCTTAGATACAGTGTCGGCATCGCTAAGTCAGAACTTGCATTTCAGAAGTCACAACTTACCTGTTTTGGGAGAAGTACTTGAAGCCTTGTTGTAATTGCAGTCTAACATTTGATAGAGTAGATACCAAAAACGCCTATTCAGGTAAGCCTTTTAGTCGAAACAAAACATACCTCATCACGGCTATCATAAACCGTAATGCACACCTTCAGAGCCCATGTGCAAGCCATCCTGTAGCGTTGGACTTTGAAAACTTGATCTTGTCAAGGACAGTCATAGAATCTACTGTTTTAGTTTATGCCTAATTCTTTCAAATTAACACTATATCTGTGGTTCAAAACAACTTGCTGGTCATTAAATAAGAATTCCGAAGATTTCAGGGATAGATTTCAATCTTAGATTCTTAGAAATAATCTCATTAACACACGTTTAGCTGTGAGGAACAGATTTACCTGATTTCAGGAAGCAATACTTGGATATTTAATCTTCTTATCGTAATGTTTTCCAAGTACTGTCTTTGGTGGGAAGCAAAAAACCCGCATGCTAAAGGAACTTGGATTGAGTAAGCGTTTGGCTTAGAACAAAAAGAGTTCCTTTGCAGCGTCACACACTTCCCCAAAATCAGTAGCCTAGGGTTTGACGACTTTCGACATTGATGCTGACCTTGATAGTTTAACTGGACTCGCTAAGCTGAAGGCACCCAGTCAAGCATCCTCGCCATTTGGCACGCTGTCGTGTTACGTTGCATTGCTCGTACTCGACCCTCTAGCCAGTTAGTTGGAACGCATCGGTATTTTGGCATAACCATCCAAATATACTATTCCATCCGACTACGCTATCATGTTCTTCCTTGGTCTCGTATTCGTGGGTATATGACAAGTTCGAATAATTAGTGATTGGTCTTCGCGTCGGTCAAGTTCGCACCAGGACAAATCCGAAATTGGTGAACCCGACGTGATTACATATCCCGACCATTAACAAATATTGAATTGGTGAGCCCGTTGCATCTTATATTTGTTTGTTGTTTTCATTTCGATAACATATATATATCCATTTGCTACACTTTCTCATATCCGACCACACTCCAAAGCTTATTCGTATCAAGCCGACTACGAACACTGTCCAACTCGTGCTATATTGGCCAGACAATGCAGAAACATGGTTTCTGTATGCCGAGGCCGATTTTCGAGAACAGGGTGTCTCAGATCCTCAGTCTCGATTTCTTGCTGTCATACGGTCACTACCGCGAGAATTAAACAGGTATGTTACAGCAAACATGTTTAATCCTGAAGTAAGTGACCCTTGTGCACTCCTAAAGGCCGCACTCTTGAAGAAAAGCGATCTCACAGATCGCCAGCGTCTAGACGAATTGCTTCGTAACATCGAGCTAGGCAGCCACTCAGCTACTGAAGTCCTCGCACGCATGCGAGAGGTAATCGGTGCACGAATATTCGACGATGGTTTCTTCCGAGAACTATTTCTTTCGAAACTACCACAACTGGTGCAAACCGTATTGGTGACACTGCAGTCAGTCCCACTCGACGACCTGGCAGTCTCAGCAGATAAAATACTGGCGATTTTCGACAGACCCGTCTCCAACGTTTATTCTATCTGCGACAAACCAGAGCTCCAGGATTCAGAGGTGACCAAGTTGTGCAACTCTGTTAAACAGTTGCTACGATCTCGGAGTCCTAATTCACGTAACACTTCGCAGAAACGCACCTTGGCGCATCGCAGCAAGTCGTGTGGTAGCCCTAAAACGAAACCCAACAGGGTGGAAAACCCTGAGTGGTGCTGGTTTCATAACACTTACGGGGATGAAGCCAGAAAATGTCGTAAACCATGCCGTTTTAAGAAAGGCACAAACTCGGGAAACGGTCACGCCGCCACGTGTTCACGGCAACCGTAGCCGGCGGAAACAGCCGTTTGCTCTGCGTCACCGACATTGAAAGGAAAGTTTGCTACCTCGTCGACACCGGCGCAGAAGTTAGCGCTCTTCCAGCAACGACGAAGGAGCGTCATCATGACCCATCCTTCAATCTTCAAGCGGTCAACGGCAAGGCAATCGCGACATTTGGGAGACAGTATGCCCACCTCAACTTAGGTTTACGTAAACCTATCCACTAGATCTTCCTCCTGGCTGACGTTTCTATGACCATCATTGGCATAGATTTGCTAAACCATTACGATCTACTCGTAGATGCCCGCCGTCGACGACTGATAGATAACAACACAAAGTTATCTACTGGCAGTACCACCTACGTAGGTCCGAGTTTGGCCATCGTTAGAACGAAACAATCAGCCGACGCGTCCTACCAAGCAGTTTTGAAGAAATATGCAGAGTTACAACGACCGAACCATACTCGCCCGTGCATAACCGGCAATGTTGTGCATCACGTCACAACCACAGGTCCACCTGTGGCATCCAAAGCACGCCGTTTAGCCCCCGATAAGCTCAAAAGGGCGAAAAGCGAATTCGGCAACATGCTCGAACTGGGCATTATCAGACAACCAGGGGCCACTTCACGCAGTGAGCCATCGGAAGAGTTTTACCAGGGGAGAAACCACTGGGTTTTTACTTCCGGATGGTATCGTCTTAGGGTCCTCAAGAACCCACTAGGGGGGAGTGATCTGTAGCGTCACACACTTCCCCAAAATCAGTAGCCTAGGGTTTGACGACTTTCGACATTGATGCTGACCTTGATAGTTTAACTGGACTCGCTAAGCTGAAGGCACCCAGTCAAGCATCCTCGCCATTTGGCACGCTGTCGTGTTACGTTGCATTGCTCGTACTCGACCCTCTAGCCAGTTAGTTGGAACGCATCGGTATTTTGGCATAACCATCCAAATATACTATTCCATCCGACTACGCTATCATGTTCTTCCTTGGTCTCGTATTCGTGGGTATATGACAAGTTCGAATAATTAGTGATTGATCTTCGCGTCGGTCAAGTTCGCACCAGGACAGATCCCAAACCTTATATACTTTACTGACAAGTTCCACAACAATATTTCTTCCTTCCATTATTAGTGGCAATGCAGCATAATGTGTAATCGCTGCGATAGTAAGATAAGTTAGAACTGCACAAGCAAGAAGAGATAGTTTCGGCGGAAAATAGCTCCCCTAATTCAGCAGCCAACAGTTCCAACCCAATATCCAATGTTGATAGTGTGAGCGTGGAAAACTGTTAGTTTTTGACCTCTAGCATCTAGTTCTTAGGGCTTGAGATGTTCGGTTTACTCCTGCAGTGGATGAAGAAATCCCTCTGCCTTCTTGCTTTTAGCCTCGTGAGGTGGGTGTTTTGTGGGTCAGTAAGTTGTAATTTGTAGAGTTATTGGGGAGCTACGGTTGCTGGAAAGTTTAGAGAACTGTGCGTGTAGGTATCTGAAGAAACTAGTAAGGTAGTGGCAAAAGAATGGCGAAGAAAAAGAGAGAAGAGAGGGGGAAAGAAAACAAGGGGAGAGAAAAAGGAAACAAAGGGAAAAGGAAAACGAGAAGTGATAGAGAGAGGTAAGACAGAGAGGGAGAAAAGTATGTGGGAATCGCCCGAATGCTAGCTTGGGTTTGGTTCCTACTGAAGAATTAGCGGGTAATGTGGGTGTATTAAGGAGACGGTGAGCGGTAGGTGGGAGGGAGTTGGGAGCTAGTGGGGTTGGTGACTACCTGAGTACGTCCGGGGTAGACCATGAGAGGTGACATAACTGCCTAATCGTCGCTGAAATCAGTAGACTGAGGGAGCTATAGCGATATGTCGTCGTTGGGCATTCCATAAAGCACATACTCCCAAAAAGAAAAATTTGAACCTAAGTGTGGTGCTGGCAACCTCGCCTGATTAACTAGTTCACTAGTTACTAGCCCGTCCTAAGCCCGGGTACAGAGGGAAGGTTGGGCGTAGGGCTAGAAACCCTACACCATAAAACCAATCTAACCGCTAAAGAAACTTCAAAGCACAAACAAAATATAAAAAATAAAACAAAATTATTCCTCGCTGGAATCGGAGAGGCGAACTGACACCAGTTGCTGAAAGTCCTCGGGAAGCCAATCGGCCGATGTGTCTTCGCTTCTCTCGATGAAAGCGAAAGTAAACGTGGGGACATGGAATGTCCGCACCATGTTTGAACCCAGCAAGGCAACTCAGATTGCCAAGGGGGTGAGAAGGTGTAGCATTGAAGTGCTAGCCTGGGAATCTGCAAAAGCAGATGGAACGGAAGTGGACCCTCCAAACTGTCAACTGGAGAGTCAATAATCTACGCCGGTATTATCACCCAGACGGCAACCACAAGCACACTGAGTTATCGAGTGGCTATCATGATGTCCCCAAGAACATCGAAAGCTCACTCTCATGCAATGGGAACCAATCTCCTCCAGCATCAGGATCATGACAGCAAGGTTCAACTCAAAAGGAAGGAAGGAAGGAAAGTCACAGTCATACAATGCTACGCTATGCACCTACAAATAATGCAGATGAAGAGAAGAAAGAGGAATTTTACAGACAACTGCAATAAACGCTGGACAGATGGCGACATCAAAATTCTAATGGGTTGGGTGACATGAATGCCAAACTGGGATAAGACAACACAGGAAGAGAATTACCATGGGCCGAGAAGCGCTAGGTGAAATGAAAGAGAATGGAGAATTGTTTGCAGAATTCTGTGCATTCAACGATTCGGTGATTGGAGTCAGGCACTGTGTTCAAGCACAAAAATATTCACAAAGCGACATCGATTTGGTTTCACCAGACACCAGGACACACTAAAAATCAGATCGACCTCATCTCAATCTCAAAAAAGTGGAGACGCAACCTACTTGACACAAGGTCAAGAAGAGGAGCAGACGTAGGCTCAGACCACTATCTAGTGCAAGGAACCTTCCAAATCAAGTCGAAGGCCTTCAAAGAAGTTGGTGATAGACCACAATTCAAGTTGAACACCCAGAACAGAAACTGAACTGAAGGACGAAACTACAAGGGATATCTTCACGTCAATCAGTCATCAAGACAAAATGGGAGATATCGAGGAACATCCCCAAAGCAACCTGTGTGGAAGAACACTGGAAGTCTTTGAAAGAGATGTGGAAAGAAACCTGCACAGCCGTATTAGGAAGGAAGAAGAAAGGAGACAAGGAATGGATCTCGA